CAGTCTCTATCCTCACAGCAGAATTCCCACAAAAATGTGATGGACAGAGACCCTGACAAGTCCTTACATATATGGAATTGGAATTTAGCTCCAACATCTTCCATATCTAGTTTCTATTACTGAAACAACTATGTATTTCAGTGTGCTTGCATCTGATTGCATCACTGTAAATTGCTTTGGAAACAAAGCCCAGAAATTTGGCTAGTTTAAGTAATCATCTGGACTAAAGAGGAGCTGGGGATGAAATTTAAATTTTAGAAACTGCAGTTGTCACTCCATACTTAATATATTATGTGATTTAGAAATAAACTGTCCATTCAGACCAATGGTTGCAAAATGTTCATGTTTATGTCACTGTCATAAGTGTGTTCAGGGGACTGTGAAGAAATCAGCAAGACCTGTCTGTTTTGAAGAAATGTTTAGATGTGGTTCAAAATCCACACTGACTGCTTCAGAATTCTCCATTTTCTCTGTTGTCGAAAGCAAGAGATTGATGGCAAACCAATTTTTGCCTCATCTGCAGATGGCAACATTTTGTGGTGGAGGAAATCAATACATTAATACAGGAGCTTGTATTACAGGAGAGAAAGAAATCTTACAAGACACAAATTTCTTGAATATTTAAGCTTTTTTACTCCCAAATGATCTTTAAATAGTTTCTGTCAAATGTGTTTGTTTGGTTTTTTTTAATGTCAGCATAAACTAGAGGTATGCTATGTTGCAGTGAACATGGAGCAAGTGAGAGGACAGAAAGCAAAGATCAAACACAGAAAAATGCAAGAGGGTGAATGATTCCTAGCAGGAACATAGTAATCTCATCTATCTGGCACACAGCTTTGGCAAATAGGCAAAACGGAGCTAGCAAATGTCTTCTGAAGTAACAAGAGGCCATGTCAGTCTGTTTGGCCAACATTAAAAAGAGTTAACTAAACAGTTTTATTCAAAACTAGTAGACACATGTAAGATAATTATTGCTGCAAAAAGCATAAATTATGGGCAGTCTGTCTTATATTGGTTTTACATACTATGCACACCTTAGCAGTGACTCACTGGCCCAGATTTTGGTTAAAGTATCAGTAAGAAAAACTGATAATAGTCCTGTTCAAGACAGAGCACATATACCAAGGGTACATTAATAATAATAATAAATAATAAATTAAAAAAAGATTTGCACCTGTTTTGCTTATATATAAATTATTAATATCTACAGTTCTACTCCTTCCTTCCTTCCTTCCTTCCTTCCTTCCTTCCTTCCTTCCTTCCTTCCTTCCTTCCTTCCTCCCTTCCCTCCCTCCCTTCTGCACCTTTCTACCAGAGTACCTCAGACTATAAATCTAAAACAGTGACAATGAAAGAACCATTGTTACTAGAAAACAATATGATGGAATCAAGTGAAACATTTAGACAAGGAATCATCATCACACCACACACAGCCCTACACAGAAAAAGAGAAAAGACAGCTAAACCTGGCCTTACCTTCTTTTAAAAATAGAACAAAAATAGCATGTGTTTCTAATTTGTAAGCACAGTCCTGCTTTAAAGATATAATCATTGTGGCATGAGCACACACAGCTTGTAATTACAAGTGGTCCTTACTTGTACTATGAGCAGATATACAGAATGTATAGTTGTTTTGTTTTGTTTTGTTTGTTTTGTTTTGTGTTGTTGAATAGTTTGACCCAAAATGAAAGGAACCTTAAGATTCATTGGACAGCAAAAAATAATAAAGTGTAAGAAAGAGGGTTCAGTTTGGGATAATTCAAACCTAGTTTATGTGTGTTATTGGCTGTTATAATAGTAAAATTATATGTGAGGATGCTATCATGCTACACATATAACAGCACCAGTAAATGTTTTTGTTTTTGTTTTTGTTTTTTAACTGAATGGTATACACATGAAGCCTTAGTGTTTTTTTCTTGAAGTGCCTGAGTGATTTATCTCAACAGACTACTGCACTTAGGAATTTCTTAACCAAAAAATTCTCAAAGGAAGCAGTTTAACGCAAACTCTCAATATGTCACATTTTGGCAGTGATTGCTTAATGCAGCAGTGCACTAATGAATTGCTCCACTGCATCCTCTGATCATGAATATGAATCGGAGTACTATAAACTGAACTCAATGTACTGATAAGTGACTGCATCTGATTGTGCCAGCAGCCAGATGATTTTCTCATTAATGAGCTGAACTATTAAAAGATGGAAGAATATGAAGCCAAGCCAGTTTTGCATTGTCTGAGCTTATTTGCTGACCAGTAACCTTTGTCAACTGGTGAAAGAAAATACTCCAAAATGTGTTTAAAAAACGCAGTTAAGACAAATAAAAGCTCCAAGGCCCAAATTCCGTTTCTGATTAGATGGATGTGGTTCTTTTGTGGTTGTAGTGTTTCTGCTTTAATATCCAAATTTTAAAATTAAGGAGTTACAGACATCTTCTGCTTTTCAGTCTCTATCATTCTACCAGTCTCTACAGCTGGAGACCCAGCACCTCATTCTCCTAACAGACTCCTCTATACAGAACTTCTTGGCTGGAGGGATGGGCCAAGAGGAACCTCATGAAGTTCAACAAGAGAAAGTGCAGGGTCCTGCACCTAGGGAGGAATAATACCAAGCACTGGTACAGGCTGGGGGCTGTCCTGCTGAAAAGCAGCTCTGCAGAGCCAGACCTGGAAGTCCTGGTGGACAGCAGGTTGACCATGTACCTTTGTGGCCAAGAAGGCCAGTGGTATCCTGGGGTGCATTAGGAAGAGTGTTGCCAGCAGATCAAGGGACGTGATCCTCTCCCTCTACTCAGCCCTGGTGAGGCCACATCTGGAGTATTGTGTCCAGTTCTGGGCTCCCCTGTACAAGACACACAGAACTACTAGATTGAGTCCAGAGGAGGGCTACAAAGATGATTAGAGGACTGAAGCACCTGTCGTACGAGGACAGGCTGAGAGAACTGGTCCTGCAAAAGAGAGGACTGAGAGGATACCTCATCAATGTGTATAAATACCTGAGGGGAGGGTGTCAAGAGGATGAAGCCAGTCTCTTTTCAGTTGCACCCAGCAAGAGGACAAGAGGAAACAGGCACAAACTGAAGCAGAGGAAGTTCCATCTCAATATGAGAGGTCACTTCTTTGCTGTGAGGGTGACAGAGCACTGGAACAGGTTGCCCAGGGAGGTTGTGGAGTTTCCTTCTCTGCAGATATTCAAAACCCACCTGGATGCCATGCTGTGCAATGTGCTCTAGGTGATCCTGCTCGGCAGGGGGGGTTGGACTAGATGATCTTCAGAGGTCCCTTCCAACGTCGGCCATCCAGTGATTCTGTAATTCCATGACAAGTTGCAGATACTTCTTTTGGAATACAATTAATCTGACAGAAATATTTCTGAAATTTGACCTTCTCAGGATCTTATTGAATGTCAAGCATTGGTAGGTCAAACTCCATTATTATTTACAAGCATTACCATTTTGCTTTGCTGTTTAAATGTGGTTACATCTCAGCTGGAGACAACCTTCATTATAAATCCAGAATGAAGAATCTAGATCAGTTGCATAACCCCTACTGTCAGAACTTCTGCTCCTGTATAAATGTGAAGTGTGACTTACTTTAAAAAGCAACTACAAACAAACAAAAAAAAACGTTGCTTGAAAGCTGCTGCGTCATATTTGAGCAAGAAAAGTGTACAGAGCAAATCAAAATGTGGTAAACACTCTTATAGTAATATTACCTGTAGAGGGCATTACAAGCTAAATGTTTTCCATGACAAGTGTTGAGAGCATCTTGGATCAGATCAGAAGATAGTCCTTAAATTGCTTAAATTAAGAGATTTTCTGTATTTACAACATCAGTTATGTAGGAGTCAAACAAAATTATTGGGCAGCAACACTGAAAGATCTTTAATCCACAGAGTAACTGCAGACAGATTTTGTAAGAAGAAAGGTTTCCAGATATTTTCAGATATCCCTGAAACTTCTCATGATATGAGATCCTGTGAGCAACTTGTAGCATATAACTGTTCCATTTTAATGACTTCACCTGAATTCTTTTTATAAGTGCTGTGATCCTCATTGGTGGTTAAACCCAAAGATCATCAGGACATCGACCATTAGCATAAATGTCTTGAATCCTTAGCACCTGACATGTAGGGCAGTGTATCTAGTATTGGAATAAATAACATTATTATTTGACTCTGTCAAGATCTATGATGATCTAATGTTACTCCAATAGCAGTGTGTGGCAAAGTATTAAGTTTCAGGCTTCTTATGCATTAGATAAAGGTATCTACATGGCATAGCAATATTCTGCTAATGAGATTCTTCCCAGTATCTCCTGCTTCTTAAAGGTGTTTGATAAGCCTCTTTAGCCATGCAATATGAAAATGATCAACAGTACTTTTTTTTCCTCTTTGCACATGGATTAAATCAGTCCAAATCAAAAAAATATATGTTTCTATGGCTGAGCAGCAAGGATTATACATCTACAGCTGTCCACTGAAGATATATTTTGTTATTGTAGGAATCGGCAACAAGGATGTTTTGGTATATGTATTAATATATATGTATAGTATTAGCATATAATATATATGTATTAGTATTCACATTTTTTCGAACACAATTAACTAGATTACATTTAATGAGACAATTAGAGTAACTGGTCTTTTTATTTTTTCTGAGGACTTATAAACAACTTCTTATATTTATCTCTTTCTTTGGCATTGCAGTGATTCTTTTGATTTTTAGATACTGTTGTGAGTAGTATGCTAAGTGTCATATCCCACCACATTTTGAAAGAGATACATATCCTTCAGACTCATCAAAATCCATGAGTTCATTTCAAATTTTCAGTGTTTCTTTTCCTGTGTCTCTATCTATATATATCCCATGTTATTAAAACATTGAAATGTAAGAATAGACTGTAATGTCCCTTATAAAACAAAAAGATCTTCTCTGAAGTACACACCATTCAGTCACAATTTTCTTAATAAAGAAAGCCTACAGAAAATAGAATATTTACAACATATTATTAAAAATATTTCAAGAATTAATTTTATAATTCAAAGTGATATGGTAAACTACATCAGTAAGAAAGTTAATGAAGAGTAAATTAAAATCACTTACACAATCATTTATTGATAGACAGACTGGTTACATAATGATTTCATCAAAATCCTTATTGTGATGGTCTTTATATTATTGTAGTGATTAAAAATATCAACATTTTAGCTTTAACTGGCTTAGACAAAAACTGTAAGTTTGCAACATGCAAACATTTTAATTTAAACAAGAGAGCAAAACAAAATTTTCTTCACAAGTCACTTTTACTTGCTTGCCAGAGCAGATTACCAAATAGAAAGTGCTAATCTGTCCCAGGGCTAAATTTAGCCTTCTATTTCTACATGCTGTAGAGATTCTTGTATTCACTTGCATATTATTTTCTCAATTGTCATGATGTCTGATTCCTCTACATAACAAAACACTACTGGTATTCCTGCACTATATTATTCTGAGCATCTTTTCTAAATGTAGTCCAACATGTCGAAGAGGAGGAGAAGAGAGGAGAAGAGAGGGGAGGAGTGTAGAGAGGGGAGGTGAGCTGAGGTGAGGTGAGGTGAGGCAAGGCGAGGGTGGATGCTTATTTATCTAATAAAATGAACAGACTTATTTGTGTGTCAGAAGGTTTCCAAGAAGTAGGTAGTAGCTTAGAAACTAAAAAGTTTTTTTGTTTGTTTTGTTGATTTTTTTTTGCTTGTTTGTTTGTTTTTTAACTTGTTAAGTGGAGGAAAAAGTATATTATATATATATACATGTCTTTTGATTGATATAGATTAGATATAGATATAGATATAGATATAGATATAGATATAGATATAGATATAGATATAGATATAGATGATATAGACATAGGTCAGTCAAACAATTAAAATAAATTAGAAGTGTTACTTTTAACCTTCACTTGTGCTGCAGGGTCTTAGCTATAGAGCACTATTGCAGTGCTGGCCTATATGGTAGGCTTTGTTTTGTCCTCAGGTCAGACATACTGAAAGGAAGAAAGAGAAAGAAAGATTAATCTGATAAAGCCATTGCCATTTCTAATCGGACTGATGGGAAATTGTGGTATGGAGCTCAAGAGGCAGCACAGAGTGAATTACTGTGAAGTGATGAACTACCTTAAAGCGGAAGCAATCAAATAGATAGCTCTCGCATCTAAAAATTACTGTGGCATCTTTATTCATCAACAGTTTTGCACAAGTGTATCATGTTCAATCCCTTCCACAAACAACTAAAGCACTCTAGCTACATTTGATCAGATTAAATCTTAATGGGGAGACTTAGCCAGTGAGGTGGTTGCTTCTCACTTCCCAGAATTAATTTCTCATTTCCATGCAGAATAATAAACTTTTCAAAGCTTGACAACAACACACTCCAGAAAGTAGCAATACTACAGCTCAGGTTCTGCACTTATTACTTACTATAGTGGAACTACAGTATTTTTGTGTATGATAGCCCTAAAACATTTCCATAGAACCAAACAGCTGAAACTCCATGGAAGCAAAATTTTTGACTCCTAGTTCAGAAAGTGTATATATGCATTTATACAAACCATCATCACATGGATCTTCCTGCACATTTGGAGAGAACAAGAGAATTGAAAAAAATAAAAATAAAAATTCAGTAATGAAAAGCCTAACACTGATTATCTGATACAAATACTATAATCAAATACTATTTGATCTAATAATATTTGATTCAAATACATCCAAATGATATGAGGAGAAAGCATGGTATCCTAGAAAACTCAGCAGAAAACTCCTGTAAAAATTCACTTGCATAATTTGAAGAATTAGGTTATGATTTGGTCCCAGAAAATCCTGAAGTTTTTTGAGTCTTTTAAATTAATGCACTCTGAAGATATTCAACATTTTGCAGTTCAATTGCATGCTAGCAAACACAGCAGTCAAATATCAGTTTTGTGTGCTCAGATGTGTTCTTCTTTGTTAAGCATCACATGATCATGATAAGACTGACACAGGACCAAGAGTAAACACATAGATATTAGCAAAAAAAAAAAAAAATTATTAAAAATGAAGAGGATACAGAAAAATTGATTAAATAGTAAGGTATATATGAAGCTGTTAGAAATTTAATTTTTCAGCTGTGAAGTTATATCACACACAGAAGAGCTAAAAGGCTTTAAAAAAGTATTATCCTTGTAAATAGCCTACCTAAGTTTATCGATCATATGAAGAGATGGAGCAGTACCCAAAAAAACATGTATACTAACATAAAGGATGACGAACAACAATGATGAAACATATCTAAACTTGAGAGGGAAAAGATAGATTTTTTCTCAGTGTTAATTTCACTTACAAATCTGTAATAAATACCACGTTTCTGAGTCTTTTTTTACCTTGTATCCTATAGGATTTACATTTAAATAAAAGATAGCATTTTCAGAAGTCATTTCTAAGAGCCATTCGATTTTCTTATGATAATACTGACTTTTTTTTCGAAACAACAACAACAATCTTTGATTAATGTGGAAAGCTGTATTGCTTAAAGATCAAGCAAAATCAATTAACAGTACTTCAGACGAAGCATACATCACTTTACAGAAAGAAAAATTTATGAGACATTCAGTTGACATACTGCTATGCATTTCTTGAAAAGCATTTACTGATTACTTATCAAGTGTCTTACATTGTATAGTTTACAGAATGATTAAACTATTTGTCCACATCTGGAATAAGTTTTTCCAAACTTCTCAAAGAGTACAATCGATGGTGACACTGTTTGAAAGTCCTAAAGAAATAAAAGAGAAACAAACAAACAAACAAACAAAGTGTTTAGTTTTCATGGCTTTACATTTCATTTTTCATAGTACTTTAAAGCACTAAATATTGTCTTCTGGTTAAATTTCATTGTATAAATTAGAATGTAAAATATGAAAAATAATGAACATATGAAATGCACATTTATGCATAGGAATTTGGAGAAGAAAACAATAATCCAATGACTTAATTGCAAGCAAATATGTACATCAAATGTATTTCTAAGTACCTATAAACACTGCAAAGACTTCCTGCCCCACAAACCAGATTCTATAGTCTTTTTTGACTCATGGTATATTAAATTCTGTTCTCTGTGAGAAACAGGTAAGTTAAAGACAGCAAGTTACTCTCACAATATTTTAACTTTTCTATCTTGGTTGAACTTAAAATGCAAATATAAAAATAAAATGAGAAAGGGTTAAAAAATAATAATAATAAATTAAAAAAAAAAAATGACAATGGAGCTGTGGTAGAAAGAATACAGGCAGGATGATTTCCAAACACTTTTTTTTTTCAAAGGAAAAGTTCTTGGTTCTTACATTGATTTTTTTTATTTTTTTTTGTAATGCAAATGCTTACAAATATGAATTGATTAAGGGAAATATAAGTGAACCTGTGCCTTAGAGTACAATGAAAATACAAATCACAAACAGGAAAGACAAATAAGATAATTATCCTAAATATTATTTTCATTTAGCTATTTACTAATAAATCATTGTTTCAATTGTAGTGAACAAGATTAGCAAGACCTCTGTGAAAGTGTTTCATGGAAACACAATGAGTCATTTTATAATGGTTGGTGCCATGACTGGATGAAAGCTAAAATTAGTACTTTCTCAACACATTTCACAATTTGAAATGTTTGGTTCTCTCTCAAAAACAGAATTAATTTTTTTTTCTTTTCTGAAAGAAGACATAAAGCACAATTATCATTTCCTGGATACTTTAGACTTACCTAGATCACAGCCCCCTGCCAGCTGAACCTCCATAAGCAAGCAGCTATTATTTCTTGTAAGCTCCCTGCAAACTCAGGCTCACCTAAGTTTCATCTACACTGCATATTGCCAAACCGTGACCATATTATTTCTTAAATCTCAACCTTAAAGTTGTTTGGAGTAATTCCTTCAACACTCTATTGCATAATTATTAAAATAGCAAGGTAGGCATTCACATTCAAACTGAAATATTCCCTATGCAGTATGAAAATGCCCCATTCTTTTTAGAAGATTTAATTTCTAATGTATCTTTAATGACTTGTACCTCACATTTTCTTATCCAACAGAAATAACCTATTTGCATATCTTTACATTGTACCTTAAGAATGGCACAGAATTTCAATTTTCATTGTGTGTTTGGCATCGCAAGCACCTTCTTAATGCAGGGGAAAAAAATCCATATAATTATTATAAGTGTTGTTATAAATTTAGCATAACTGTAAATAGTTGTCTTCTAAAGTGAAGCTAGTTACATTTAGTTTAGTAAATTCACTGGGCTAACATTTGTTATTTGAATGGGGAAAAATAACAAAACTCATAAAGGAAGCTCTAGTTGGAGAGAAAGCAAACAGATAATACAGCTATAATTTAGGATCAAATAACAATTCAGAGAAGAAAATCCTATTATTTATTTTGAAAATAGGAAATATGCTTCTTATCTACATGCAGGACAGTGAGGTACAGTTTAACAATTTGGATAAAAGTAGATAGGGTGAGATGAAGAAACTAGTATACACCCCCAACATCAGGATAAAATCAGGAATGGTGAGTCTGAGCATTGAAGAAGTCTACATTTGCTGGAGCAGACGGCTTTTGCTATTAGGATGCCTGGCCAAACAAAAACAATTGGCTGCCAAAATTAGCTCCTTGGGACGATTTAGGAGCCTTTGAAGTGAACAGTTTTTTGAGCTGGAACTAAGCCCAGGTCCAGCTTCAAACTCAAATCAAGATGACAAAGAGGAAATTTTCTGTGCCACACGCCCCCTCAGTGTAAGATTACTTTGGGTTGGCAGCTGTACTGTTTATCTTGTTATTTAAAGCTATTTCACTAGATACTCACAACTGAGCATTTAAACAACTGGCTCTGATTATGACGACAACAGTTATGCTTGACCACATTTAGGAAACATCACACAGTCTGATGGATAATGAAATTATTGCTGGCTTTACAGTTTGACTAATTAAAGAAGTTTATAATGAATATGAGATGAATGCTGCACGAAATGCACAAAAAATACAAATATATTTTAGGAAAACATACCCAGTCATTTTTGTATTTAAAGATACAGGTTTTATTCAGTTTTGAGTGGTGTAAGAAATTAAAGCCTGAAAATACCACTTAGCCTTGCAAGATCTTTCTTATAGCACTGAAGAGAGTCTATCCCATTGTATCATTGTAGCAGCAAAGAAGGGAAAAAAATTGGAAGTCAGAATCTCATGTCTGTAAAATTTGATAATGAAATGTAGGTTCAGATCCTCCAGCAATACACTGAAATGCACTGCTTTTTGGTTCTGGTACACTGATATATCGAGCCCCAGCAGGATCACCTGAAGTTTAAGCTGATTGCTACAGGGTATAGAATTTACAAAGTAATACAGATAATTCTTTTGAAGCTGCAAGAACAAAAGTTGTGAATGTAGAAAAACAGGCTCCTTCAACATTATTTTCATCCTGTCAGTCCCTCATTGTTGGTAGCTGGAATGAATTAGATTACAAATACCAATTCCCATGTATTGGTGAAATAGAGTTTCTCAATCTCAAGATCATAGGAGTACAGAGCTGACTCTTATTGATTTTTTTCCACAGTGCATTCTCATATTGTACCATATAATTCTCAGCATTGGAGACCTGTAATTCTCAGAACCTGAGAACTACTTTTAAATTCCCAAAACAAGTTAATGCAACACTTCCTTTTTAAACTTGTCAAGCTTTGAGTCTTTTTACTCTATCAAATTGTAAGTGACTTAATCTAACTGACAAAGCTTAACAAGACCTATGGACCCTTTACATATATTTGACTACTTGACTGTCATGTATGCTCATCAGTTCCAAACAACGGAGTAAAAAAGGTGACATAAAACCACCAAAGATTTGTCTCAATTTGCACGCTCTGATGTCATAGATTTGACATGTCAAATGTTTATACAGTATCTTTGAAATGTTATTACTAAAGCAAATTCTAAAGAAATTTTGCATCTGATTATGTGGACATACATAAATACAAACACAACGTACAGACAAAAACAACAGGGGCAAACCAACCAAAGCTTGTAGAGCTATACATGCACGTATGAGTATCAGCTTAAAGGACTTTAAAAATTGCCTCATATTTCTGTTGATGAATTTGCACTAAAAATGTTTCTTTCCAAACAGTCTTGAGTGTATAGTGCAATTTCTTGTAATATAAAAATTCACTTTGGAATGAGTTAGGAAGTATCATCTTAGAAATGTAATGAAGTGGAAAGTCAACTACTTCAGTCCAAAGTAGGGAGAGGCAAACGGCAGCAGCATATCCACTCACATATGTTAAGTCCAGAAAGCATTGTTACAATCATTTATACACACTCCTCTATACACACTTCAGATATCTTTCTACAGCAAATCTATCGGGTACATAATAATTACAAAGCTGATAAGCACATGACAAACTTGGAACAATAAGCTTACAATAAACTAGTTTCTGCCTTATAATCTCGCATAGTTTTTCTCTTTTTTTTTTTTTTTTTTTTTTTTCATTTTGTTGAGTATTTTGTCCATTTTGGGGCCCCTCACTATAAGGATATTGAGTTGCTTGAGCATATTCAGAGAGGAGCAACAAAGCTCTGAATGGACTAGAAAACAAGAGTTATGAGGAGCAGCTGAGGGAATTTGCGTTGTTTAGTCTGGAGGAGAGGAGGCTATGAGGACAGGAAAGCTCTGCAGAGGGATCTGGACAGGCTAGATCGATGGGCCATGTCCAGTTACATGGCAGTCAACAAGGCTAAATGCCAGATGCTGCACTTGGGTGATAACAACCCCATGCAGTGGTATAAGCTTGGGGAAGAGTAGCTGGAAAGTTGCCTGGCAGAAAATGACCTGGGGGTGCTGGCCAACAGCCAGCTGGGCCAGCAGTGTGTCCAGGTGGCCAAGAAGGCCAATGGCATCCTGATCTGCACCAGAAATAATGTGGCCAGCAGGACTCTGGAAGTGATTGTCCCCTTGTACTTTGCACTGGTAAGATTACACCTTGAGTATTGTATTCAGTTTTGCACCCCTTACTGCAAGAAAAATAATGAGCTGCTGGAATATCTTCAGAGAAAAGCAGTGAAGCTAGTGAAGGGACTAAAAAACAAGAAATATGAGGAGCAGTTGAGGCAACTAGGATTTTTGAACCTGGAGAAAAGAAGGCTGAGGGGAGACATTATTGCTCTCTACAGCTACCTGAAAGGAAGTTGCACCGAGGAGGTTGTAAGTTTCTTTTCTCAAGTGACAAGTGACAGAATGTGAAACAACAGCCTCAAGTTGTGCCACAGGAGTTTTAGATTGAGTATCAGGAAGAACTTCTTTACAGAAAAGCTGCTTAGGTTGGAGCAGGCTGCCTAGGGAGATGGTGGAGTTGCTATCAGTAGAGGTATTTAAGAGAAATACTGATGTAGTGTTTAGGGACATGGTTTAGTGGTGGAGTTGGTAGTGTTAGGTAATGGCTGAACATAATGATCATAAGGGTCTTTTCCAGCCTAAATGAGTCTATAATTCTATGATGAAAGACGTATGAACACAGCACTAAGGGGAATGGTTTATTGATGGGGCTTGGTAGGTCAGGTTCATAGTTGGAGCAGATGATCTTGAAGGTCTTTTCCAACCTAGATGATTCTATGATTGTATAAATAGAGATCTGGTTACACAAATTAAAATTGTTGCATACGGTTGTATGAATGTAGAGTTCCTTCATAGGTTAGGAAAAGTAGCATGAAAAACTGCTTCAAAGATAAGTTG